TGCATAAAGTCAAGGCGGCTCAATCTTGTAGTTTATCAAGTTTTTAAACCATCAGAACTTTCTTACAAATATCTTTCATTATATTAGAAAGTTCAATGATACAAGAAGTCACCTTACTCGACATGCAACCGCGTACAGCTATTGGCAGTAAATCTTGCATTAATATGTGATAATCACGTGACTTTAAAGAATAAAGTCTCCGATCTTTAACACTGACACATCGAGATATATTTGATGTATATCCATCTGGGACCTTTATATCCTTCAACATCATACAAAACACTTCTTTTTCTTTCTTCGAAAGAGAAAAAATAGAATGCGCAACAAATATTTTCCATTAGGATGTAATTGCAGATGAAGATCATGTCGACTAAGTCAAGTCGACTCTTTAGATTATCTTTAGATTTTTTGTCGACATTGAGAATGGTCCCGATAATATTCTCATAAACATTTTTCTCAATATGCATTACATCAAGATTATGTCTCAAAATTTGATCCTTCCAATAAGGCAACTCAAAAAATATACTCCTCTTTTTCCACAAGTCTACCTCATTTGGATCATCCTCTTCATCAGACTCATAATCACTCTGTTGGTCAACATCCACTTCTTCATTAACATGCTTTGCCTTTTTCTTTAATCGTGTATTCGGTGGTTGATTAATTTTTCCATAAGTAAAATTGATATGTTTCAACATGTAGAATATATCAGACCCGGTTGTTTGGTCAGGAGCTTTTCGAAACTCTTCACTACCATCAAACATATTATTTTGACTTATAAATCTATGATTATCAGCCAACCACCGACGATGTCCCATATAAGAGAACTTATTTCCATTAAACAACCACTTCGAACATGTTTGTGAAACACATCAAGGGCAAACATAATGACCTTTGGTACTCCAAGCAGATAAATTTGCATACGCAGGAAAATCATTAATTGTCCATAATAAAGGCACGCGTAAATTAAAGTTCTCATTCTTCAACACATCATATGTTTCGACCCATTCTCATAACTTTTTCAACTCTTCAATAAGCAGTTGCATATAAAAAATCAATATCATTTTCGGGACCTTTTCTCGCCAGAGATTACATGGATAAGATAAAATATTATTGTTTCTTGCAAATCCACAGAGGCAAATTGTATGGAACAAATATAACATGCCAAGTACTATACGAAGTACTCATGATTTTGAAAGGATTAAACTCATCAGTAGCAAGACTGAGCCTGACATTTCAAGGATCTCTCACAAAACTTGGAAACTTGTTGTCAAATGACTTCTAAGCTAAAGAATCCGAATGATGCCGTAATAATCCGTCATTGGTCCTTCCATCATGATGCCACCTCATAGACTCAGCAGTCTTGGAGGACATAAACAGTCTTTGTAGCCTAGTTATGAGAGGAAAATATAGCAGAATCTTTACCTGTTTCTTTCTTGATCGTTCTTGAGCTTCATCCTCACTCACATTTTCTGCGTCCCTAGTTATCCATCAAGATTTTTCGCATACATGACAAGACTCTTGATTATTTCAATCACCCCAATACAACATACAATCATTCGGACAACTATGGATTTTCTCATATCCAAGACCCAAATCTTTTATAATTTTCTTCATATATTTGCATGATTGAGGGATTTTTGCAAAAGGAAACTATTCTCCTAGAAACTCCAATAATTGCGTAAAAGAGTTATCAGTCCACCCTCCCAAGCATTTTAAGTGGAAAAGATTAATGCATAAAGATAGCTTAGAATATTTTGATCCCTCATAAAGTTGTTCATTCATTTCATTCAGCAACTTGTAAAACTTTGCCGCTTCTCCATTTGGCTCTTCAGCACATCCACTTCTTCACATCTCACTGAAATTATTAACATCAGTATGACAATAATTTTTTGTAACAGATTGATGATTATTGTGCATATTAAATGCATCTCGCAACATCCCTTCCAAGTCATCTTCTCTAACAGTTCGATAGTGAGAAGTAGCAGGAAAATTCGAATAACTCGTGGAAGAAGATATATTAGATATAAACTCTCCATGAAATATCCATTTTCTATACCCCCGAACAAATCCAAAAACAACTAGACGCTCGTACACAACTTCACGAATGTGCTAATTAATGTTAGCACACTTTTTACAAGGGCAAAGAATCATATTCTCTTGGCTTGCATTCACAAAAGGTAGATTTAGAAAATTTTCAACTCGATTTTGATATTCTTCGCTTACCCTTGAGAAATCCATCCAACTCTTATCCATTTCGTATTTCTGGAATTTCAATTTCAAATGTTAATTGCTAATATTATAGGCATAAGTAAAGAAGAGTTTAATAGCCCTTGTATATTTAAAGTCAAAATTGAAGGCACCCAAAATTCAAGGCATGTAAAATCATAGAGAGTCAAGGTAGTCAATATCTTCCAGGTAACAGAATGAATGACGCATTGCATACTGAAAAAAAACATAATAGAAAGCAATAAATTAACCCGCGTTCAATTCTAGTTAATTAATTCCTTTAGCACCCCAACCATTATTTTTATCTTGAATATTTCTTTTTCAAAATCATATACCTAATGTTACGCTTTAGTACAGCTAAATATATCTTAAAACAGAAACACCTTATAGCGATACAGAGAAAACCCAAGAAGAACAATATAAGCCGAAAAAATTTCAACAAACAGTGGTGTCGCTATATGAATAACTTTTAACCAGAAATCATAATTGCACAAAGGGGAAACGAAGAATAAACTTACCACGTGGAAAAGGTAAAAAGGGTAAATATTAACTTGTAAGGGTCTTCCTCCCCCAACACACAATTAATATGGATTTGGATGAGAAATTGGAAGCAGTCCTAAAACATGGTTCTTTTCCTTCATATATTTTGGGTTTTTTTCTTACTCGTAGCACAAAAGATCAATCTCCCTATAAAGAACAAAACCCCAATCCTACAAACAAAGTTCCATTGCATCCTAATTGTTTCCAGAAATAAGAAACAAAAACAATGGGAACATTCAATAGTCCAGCATTCAATTACGGTTTGGTTTAGGGAGAAGACAACATTAAAACAATGGAATTACAATTGGAAAACAATTAAGACATAAAAAACCTCTAGTTTGTCTATAAATTCAAAGAAAATAAAAATAAAGTGGCTATAAATGTTACCACGTATTATAAAGACTAGGCTTTCTTGCAAATAAAGATTTAATCATAGACATAATTGTCGTATGGTAAAAATTATCCAACATATAACCTAACAAATTTAGCATTCTTCATAAAAACCAACCCCATGCAAACGGAACAACATCCAATTTTTGCAGCAGTACAAACAAACAATAATGTATAAAATAAATTGCACACTGATAACCAACAAACTGATTTCTGAATACAATGCAGTTTACTCTAATTTAAAAGCACTGAAGTTTATATTTAAAATTATCAAGCAAGTGACGCACTACGGCTAGAAAAATAAGCAAGTGAGAGTTCGACAAGGACCAGAACTTGATACGACAATCAAATAGATTTCAGGATGGTTGCAATGGCATTGGTAGTCAACCAATTCATTAGCACCAGCAATCAAATCTAAAATAAAATTGATATGGCATTTCCCAAAAGTCATCCGAACGAAACACCAACAAACTCTGTGACGCACTAAGACTAGAAAAACCAAGCACTGCTTTCTCTTTTGCATTTAAACAAATACCTTTCATTCCCATGCTCAAACTACTTTGATAACAAAAAGAACGGTAGAACAAAAGGGTAAGAGCCTGCCCCAATATTTCCCTAAAAACAACAAAAACAACTCCAATAAACTATAAAATAACCCAACCTAAGTCACCTAGAATATACCCAACCGAATTTTCATAATACCAACATTTAGAAAAATGAAAAAATTCAAAAGTGAGAGAAGGGATCAAACCGTGCAATCGTGTTATAGCTCGCCGGTGAGAGGCCTGATTTGGTCGCCGGGAGAGACAGAAGACGACGTCACTTGGAATCGTGAGAGGCCCGCTTTTGTACCAGAGAAGAGGCTTTTAAGAAGAGTTAAAATGATTTTAGGGATCGGGCAGAGAAAAATGGTGGAGCATATATTTATCCCTTAGCAACATTTTTAAAAAAAGTCACAATTGCACGTGTTTTTGCGGCATTTTTTTATTACAAACGCCAATAATGTACAATTATATCGCGGTGTTTGTCTCAAAAACGCCGTTATAATACTAGTTTTTAGTGTCGTTTTTATAAAAATGCCACTATATGTTTAGAGTTAGCGGCATTTACTGTAAAAACGTCGCTATAGAGTTATTATGTTATAGTGTCTGTTGCGGCGTTTTTTTAAAAACGCCACTATAGATGAACCCTATTGCGGCATTTGTATAAAAACACCGCTAAAGTACTACTCTATTACGAAATTTGTTGAAAAACGCCGCAAAAGGTGAACTGTATTGCGGCGATTTTATAGCACTCTTTATTGGAGCGTCTTTTGGAAAAATGCAACTAAGAACGAACCCTATTGTGGTATTTGTACAAAAACACAGCTAAAGTACTACTCTATCGCGGCGTTTATTAGAAAAATGCCACTATAAATGTACCTTATTGCGGCGTTTTTTTAAAACGCCGCTAAAGTATTATTTTTGTGGCGTTTGGATTGTAAACTCCCCTATATATTTAAAGTTTGTGGTGTTTACTCTCCAAACTACAAAAAAATTTGTTGTAGTGCACCCAATATCATGCAAGAATCTATTACACTTCACTCTGATAATATCAATACTCAAGTATATGTATTGATATCAAACTCATAAACATTGATACTCATCTTGATTATCGATATCTAATTAAAATTCAAAGTTCAATTAATTTCAGTTACTATCCATATTCACTTTAGTACTTAAAGTGTTTGTCGAGATGTTGGAATAGTAGGAGCAAATATTTATGAAATTCAATCCAAGTTAATAACAAGGTTTAGATTTTTCTTTTTTTAAGGTTTGAAAAGTTATAAGACTTAAGTTGATAAAGATAAAGACTTTACATTGAAATGGATAGAAATTAACAATTAAGAAAACATATGTTATTTTAAAAAACGAAAACTGAGGAATCCTAAACATGGTGGTTATATATTTTCACTCCATTTACTGATAGCCTGCATCACTGCTTGTTTCACCATCTGAGCATCCATGCCTTCAGCATTACTCTGATTCTGAAAAATCAAACAATTAAATTAGTACCATTCATTATTGTGAGGGTACACTAAAGTTTAAAAAAAATGAAAATCCAGAATCTGTGGTTAAAACCCATTTTTTACAGTTTACAAGTGGAATTTCTCTTGGGAAATTCACTTTGGGTTTAAAGAGAAAACAATGAATAATCATTGCCCCAAAACATATAACACACGTGTGTGTATTACTTACTTCTCCTCCCATGGCTTCCAGTTGGAAATTGTCTTCGCAAGAAACCCTAGCGTCCAACACGTCAAGGCCAAGCTCTTCAAAGGTTTCCAATATGGAAACGAGCAAACCAGGGCAATTCTTTTCCAGAAACACATTAATAAGGAATCCTTTCTCTAGGGTTTCCACATTAACTTGCTGAAAAAACATATCAAACCTTCAAACCAATATGCAAATTAAAGCCTACTTATTAACTGACGTCAGTGATTAAACTGAGTATTATTCTCTCTAGAGATCTCATGTTCGAATAATTGTGTCTGTAGGATGTGTGTGCATTGTCAATGACTAAGAAAGATTTTGAACTTCACCGTTGGCAAAGGACTCTGAGAAGTTGACATTTGTGAAGTTCCAATCTCTTGGTTCAGCATTTCCACCTTTTCTTTCAACTCTTCTATATATCTCGATGCGTCCACAATGATTGAAGTTCTATTTACCTGCAAAACACATGTACAGATACCACAAGAAACTCAAATCACTCGATAGCTTGATAGTTAAGCAAGAATAGAAAGGAACCAAGAAGAACCAACAAAGAGATTTTTAGGGTAATTTACAGAAGTAGAGTTGATGACAGAGCGTAGCCTTTGTAGTTTCCGATATACTGGTGCTTTCTTTCGATCTTTGGAAGACATGATAGTGTGTTTAATCTTTAGAATATACACTTTTATTTGTGGAAAAATGTTTGACCCTTTTCCCTTTCTTTTTCACTGCAAAGGATTAACTTGAAGGGTATTTAAAGAAATAGGTTAGTCCCATATCCCTACATGATATGGATGTTTGTTTCCTCCATGACATGGGGGCCTCCATTTTTCCTGCATCTAACCCAATTTACGGATTTTACCTCATTAATTTACATTGATATGAGTAGTAAGCCTCAGTTGATGTAGATGGTCTTCAACAAGAGGTCAATCGGTCTATAAGTTATCGTCTAACATAAAATTATTCATCCGTCCACGTAGGTCACCACAGTGCCTAGGGTTATTAACAGTACTTTAGAAATGCTGTAAGTTATATTACCTAACAATATGTAGGAAAAGAATGTTTCAATCAATTTTAATGTTTGTAATCTATAGTCAAGCGAGGAAAAATCTCATTATAATTTACAGTCTCTTCTCTCTCTCTCTCTCAACTTTGACTTGTGAATTTGAAAAGCTTCTGTAGTTCATTTTTTAACCTATAATTGAAGAAATATATATATATAGGTAGGTAAAAAGGTGAGAAATATATGTAAGTTTATGCACGAGAGAGAGGGACAAATTATGGTGATAATAATCCGTTCCCGTGAGAAGGATTTGGAGGGATTGACAGCTAAAGCAAACAAAAACTACGTTTCACGCTTCTTCCTTCGCTGCTATCGATGCCTATAATATTATATATATAATTGCTTGGCTCGGCCTTCCTTTCCAATGGATCCATCATCCATCACGAGACCCAGATTCCTTTCTCTCCACACATACATACAAATTAAACCATCCCCACAGCACCATCTTTGCACGTGCCGAATCACATTCTTCTCTCCTCTCATCTTTTGTTTCCTACTGCCAGTGGGATCTTGATGCCTTGGAGGAGGACGTTCTGGACCTTCAACGACAAGAGACGTTGGCCGAGACACTCCCGTTGCCTGATTCAGTTCAGGAGTGAAGTGTAAGGATATTTTTGAGCATCCAGTTGTTATGGTAAAATTTAGGTTATGACATTTTTAGACGGTGTACCCCTTTTGATTTGACGGAGAGTTACATTAGGTAAGTTTCCGGTTGATGGCTAGTGAAAAATAGTGGACAGCGGAGTGCTTATAGTCGATGGTCCATATCATCTAATTAATCAGATTTGAAGTTTATCAAAAAGAGATCGAGAAGAACCTTTCTTTCAGTTTTGGTTGAGGGTCTTATACTGGCCCCTAATGTTGGTGTCATGCCTAGAACCATGATAAATACTCATAAGCTGACAAGTTGAATGAATATGACCATGGGACAGTAGATTGAGCTTTGGCAGATTACGTAAGCCTACCAAAGGTCTTGTCACGAGAAGAATAACTAGTTGACAAGTATGAAATTCTTAAGGAGGGTCACGAATTGGAGGATATGGAGTTCCGGAGGTTTCAAGTAACTCCGAAGACCTCAGTGCTTGGTAGACAAAAGAATGACAATGTAATACTACTTCCAGAAGAGATTTGGGGAGATATACACTTACACTATATAATTTAAGTATGACCAAACTGACTTAAATTCGAAAACATATAGTTTAAGTATCAATTAAAAAGAAAAAGGAAAAAATAATGTCCAAACAAACTTAAATTCGAATCAAGCAACTCGTTTCCATCATTTTAAAGGTCAAAGAATCATCCAAGATAACTTATCAATTTCTTTTCTATATTAATATTTTCTATCACTCCAATATTACTTATCAAGCATGCACTTTAGCTCTACTTGGTTGAAAATAACTACGCATGCAAATATATGTATATATTGTAGGTGTTTCTTTCAGCCAAAACACTGCATTTTTGCTTCGGAATTTCTACTCAAAATATATAGGCGTATTTGCATGCATATGCACAGTTTTGAAGGAAAAGAAATTCTGTAATAAATCTACTGCCATGTCCGAATTCAACCCAACATACAAATACTAACAAAATCGTACCCACCAATTCACATGTGTTATAATCATCGTAACAAACACAATCCTTTGTCTCTTGCCTTATCCATCTCCAATAACATTGAAGATTTGCAGTCTCAGGATAATGAATAAATTCAAAAAAACGAGAATCATAAATACTGAAAATTGAATAATATTAACTTTTGGTTTAATCATGTCACACTTTGATTAGCAATATTTACCTGCCTAGGTCCTAAGATAGGACATATAGAATTAATTATATTCACTATGATTTTTCTCAATCTGAATATTACTTAATGTATTATCAAAATCTCGAAAGTGACACCTAATCATTGTTTTATTGAAAATTTCAATTTCTAATTCCAATTTTGAGAGCCAAGGAATTTGGGGTCCCATCAATTTGCATTATGCAATGGAATAATGTGGAAAAATAAAAATTAGGAAGAATAATAATCAACAAACTACACGAGTTTTCTTTCTTGTCCGATTGTAATGATTATATGCTTACATGGTTTTGATTTAACTCATTTGTCTTCCTTGAACAAATTGCGAATGGTTGGTGTAAAAATTGTGTAAGCATTTTTTTATTAATATTTAAAAAAATGTTAAATAAGTAATGATAACTTAAAGTTACTTGTCTGCAAAACTGAAATTCCACTATGTAAGTAGTTGGACATTGAAGCATGGTAATGTTTGGGTTAGTGTCCTTGTTTGTGGATAATCTACTGTCGGAGTTGCACTGGAAGGGGCTATGGCATATTTTTGGTAGACAGAGAAAGGTTCTGAATGTTTTCATCGCAAGAAAACGGAGTAATGGGGACCAAGATTTGTTATTGTATGAATGGATAGTAGGGCTGAGGCGATGAGAATGACCGAGAGATTGAATGGCCTGAAGGTCTATGGTAATAGAATACCTGTGGTGATGGCTAAGTTTAACAGCAAACCTACGTCTGGGAAAGTTCACGCAAGGTATACGTGGAGGCCGAGGAAAGTAGAACCTACAATTATTGAATAGAGTCGGGGGGAGCTCAAGATTCAGAAGGCAGTGGAGAGAACGAGTATTATAGGACATGTTGAAGATGCATATTTGTGGAAGGTGAAGAGGTGTTTAGTTGGTGTTATGGCAACTGTCTGCAATGTAAGGAGCACTGAAAGGAGACTACAAGACTAGGGCATCGGGGAGATCAAAGTTCAAAGACTAGGAGGAAAATCGTTCTTACTCACCATTGTAGACAAGGACTTGTTTATCTTGATGGAAGATCTCCAGTGGTCTGTTCTAAAATAAATATTCGTCGAAGTCAAACTGTGGACAGAAGCTTTGAATCAATTAAAAAGGGCAACTTGGTTGGATTTGTCATGAGTACCACTTCATTACTGGAATGACATCATATTGAAAAGGTTAGCTGAAATGTGGGGAAACTTTGAAGCTTTTGGAGAAAATGCTAACCATTAGTTGGATCGAGAAAAGGTCACTATGCTGGTGACGACTAAGCAGGGTTCCCGGATTGAGGAGGTGGGAGTGAAATATGGAGTTTGGGTTACAGAATTAGGCTTTAACGACAGCTCGGTGGTTCAGAGGAAAGTGCTCGATGAACTGAAGTTTGCGATGCGTGAAGAAGAAAAGGTGAATGAGATTGAGATTAATCAAGTTTCATAGGTAAGTCCCTCTGAGAATTCGTCGTTGGAAAAGGATGGTAACAAGGGTTTATCGGTAGAAAAGGAAAACTCATTTAATGATCCGTGTATTAGGAAGGAGTAACAATGATGAGAATAAGGGGATGAATGTTGAAGGCAACGGGCTCGAAGTGGGAAGGGGTAGAGTCTCAATTGCAGTTCAAGAAAATGATCAACACGTGCGGGATCAACAAGGAAGGGGTAGTGAAGGAATTGTCGTTATTAGAAAAGGATTCAGCATGCTCTGAAAAGTGTTAGGTGTTCGCTGTGGGTGGACAGTAATTCAGGAATGAAGATTCTTACATGGAATGTGAGAGGGTTGGGGGCGGACGCAAAATCCGTAGTGTCGTAACCGGTTTTCGTCCGGGCACGAAATATTATACTTGGCGGGAAAAGTGATGTGAATAAATGGTTTTGAAAATAATTTGGGAGTCGCCATCGGCCTTTTGGGTCAGGTAGGTCGAATACCTAAAAATTATTTTTTTAAAAGAGTTTTAAGAAAACATCAATTAAAAAATGTACTGATCTGCGTTTATAACCAAAAATTCGTTCTTTTTAATAAAAAGGGATTCGTGGTCGGTTACGTTTAGGGAAGGATTAGCACCCCTACAACGCCCAAAATTGGTACTTTTTAATTATAAATTGTCTCTATTATTAAAATTTAAAAAATTCAAAATATATTTAATTTATAATCATATATTTATTTATTTAAAATATCAGAAAATGACTTCTAGGTGCCTTAAGACAGCTCTTTTCTTTGATATTAATAAATATTAATATATTAAAATTTTAATATTTTAAATAAAACTAAATTATAATTTTTATAATATTTAATTATTTAAAATACCAGAATAGGACATCCAGTTATATTAAGACTGCCCTTTTCTTTGATATCGAAAATAAATAAACATTATTTTAAATATATATATATATATATATATATATTTATATGACTAAGATAATAATAAAATAATAATTAAAGCAATAATTAAAATATAAAAGTAATAACAAAATAATATTGTAATTAAATAATGATCAAAATAAAAGAAATTCAAAAATTATAAAACTAAATACAAATTATTAAAAATAAAGATAATAATTCGAAATTTTATGAAAGATAATGATTAATAGTGTAATTTAACCTAATTAATTAATACGTGATTAAAATAATAATTAATAAACTATGAGGGACTAAATTTGATATTTTCCTAAATATATATAAATATAGTTAATGGTTAAAATATAATAAAATAAAATTTAAACACTAAATTAAAATGATTAAAAGTCAATTTCAGTGACTAAATTGCAAAGTTACAGAACTATAAGGGTTGCGGAAAGGGTTTACCCTTTCTTAAATTACACAGATACCCTCCCCAAAACGACGTCGTTTGGGGAGGGTTTTAAATACCCTTAACGCCTGGCCCGAAGGGCCAGGCTTCCTCATTT